CCCCAAAACCCCAAAACCCCAAAACCCCAACTAAAAAGTGGTCACTTGAATCCAGCTCAGATATCGCAAATATATAATGTTTTACTATGGACTCACCAACCTGACAGTTCTCTACTTCACGTATTCTTTCCTCGGCTGGCTCTGGGGCACTCTCTTTCTGATCCTGCTTGTCAAAGTAGGCGATAAGATTCTCCTCAGTTGTGGGTATTTGAGACTGAACTACGGAGACATCTGCATGAGCATCGAGAAACCAGGAATCAATCACAACATTTCAGGATATGCGATTCTGGACAAAGAAAATTACTCCGACTTCAACAAGTTCATCTTTGAGAGAGGAGTCAAGAAAGTCTTCAAGCTCAGGTCCATCTTCGTGAAGAAGCTGGGCATTCTACTTTGGCAAGACCAGGGGCCTCAAGCAGGCAGAGACCAAATCAAGTTATGCACCGAAGAAATCCATGATGAAGATAGTCTCTGACACTTTGCAGAGAAGATTTGTAACCTCAAGATGGACTACTCAAAGCCACTTTGGGAGTTCCACTTCATCGAGAACTACTCTGAGACCCAGTCAGCCATGGTCATGAGGATGCACCACACTTGAGCTGACGGTGGTGGCATCGTTGGACTCTTCTCTGCAATGAACGATCCTGACAAGCGACTCAAGATCAGCAAAGAGTTTCCAAAGATTGGCTTTGTACAAGACTTGGTGTTGACATTCATTTGACCAATATACAGTGTGTATTTACTGGCTAAGAAAGCACTCTTCCATTCAGACAAAGAAGCTTCCAAAATCAACGAGCTCAAGAACAACGACAGTCATTATGTGAAGTTCTACTCAAGCAAACAATCTTTCGAGTTCACAGATGTAAAGAAGTGTTACAAAAGGTTCGATGGAAACCCCAAGTTCAATGACTATCTCATGGGGACCCTCTCAGTCAGTCTCAAGAAGTGGTATGACAAGTATGGTCACGCTGACGCCCACAAGATCAAACTGGTAAACTCAGTGAACATGAGGAACCTGCCGAAAGATATCTCAGAAATCACTCTATACAACGAGAGTATCGGTAAGCATTTGTGGTAACGAGTAGGTGTCCAGTTCGAACTCCCGATCAAGCATGAGTTCGAAGCAGCGATGAACGAAGCCAAGACCAACTTTCACAAGGACCTGGGCCTCTTCGAGATCATCTGACTGCGGAAGATCTCAGATACATTTCCGTTCTTGCCAGAAGTGGTGTTGAAGTTCTTCATGAATGAGTTTTACAATGGAGTCGACTTCATGTTTACAAATTTACCGATGTCTTCAGAGCCGTGCTACATTGCCAACCGAGAAGTCACGAAGATCGGAGTATTTCCGAAAATGCACAACTCAGTGAACTTCTTCTTCATTGCTTCTACATACGAGAACAGGCTGTATCTGAGCGCTTGAGCGAACGGAAGCTTGAAAATGGACCCTCAGCTACTTCTAGACTACGCAAGTGAGTACATCAGCGAAGACATCAGAATTTCACAAAAGTAATCATACACCACTAACAGAGCAACGTGAATCAAATTCATCAATAATTTCATTAGATTCACAAGATTCATGAATTTCAACTTGAGTATCTTATCCTGGGGTTTTGGGGTTTTGGGGTTTTGGGGTTTTGGGGTTTTGGGG